GGGTAAAGGCGAAGGCAGGAGGACGTGTGAAAGCAGGTCAAACAATATGAAGGAAATCAGGACTCAGGTTGCCCCAAGCGACTATTGATTTTGCCACTGTCGACGACCTTGATTGCTCAACCTGGAGAAAGTGAAGTGGATGTGAGGATGGGGGAGTTACAGGAGGATATCGCCTCTCAAGGACGACGACGATAACGACGACGACGAAGAAGAATACGATGATGAAGACGATAACGACAACGTTGAGGAAGAAGGAAAGAGGATTATACTCGCAGGTTGTTCGGTCGACTTGTTGCTGACAAAGTTCGATCTGTTGCTGAGTTGCAAAAGAGCAAAAGTCGAATCAAGAAGACGAGAAAGACGAGGATGAAGAGGTCGCGTCAAAGGGAGGAGGAAGTTATATGTTCTGCCTGTTTGATTGCTTGCTTGCTTGCTTGCTTGAAGGTCCTCACAATCACAATAACTTTCTACGAAAAACAATAGGGCCCCAAAAAACATTCACGTTGGTTGACCTGACCATAGCAAGCTTCAATACGCGTCACGTAGATCACTGGCTGGTGGCCATCCTTGAAACCTGACAATTTGAGGTTGTTTATTCACCAATATCTACGTTGGTATTGTGCGACCTTGAAATCCGACCTGCTAGCAGAAAAGGTGGTGGTGATATGATGTGGTGAAGCAGTTCAAGGTCGGGGACCAACCCACTTCCACTCTTTATTCAGGGAGAAATAAACAATAGCAACCTACATTACCTCACCAGACCTTGGGATGAGGTGGTGAAGTGAGCGGGCAGTCAAAGATTATTCAAAATAGCAAGAATAGGGAGCAAAACCTGGAGAGTTCGGATGAGTGTATCATACCTGGAAAAAAAAAACTAGGCCCCAGTCCCCACCACACGCCGGCCACGAGACCGTTCATCCCAACTATGAAACACACCTCCAGGCAAGCAGGCAGGCAGGCAGGTTGTGTTGTTGACAAGCAAAATTTCCTACGCGAGCAACGTGAGCAGTCAAGTAATATCCAAACAGGAGAGTCCAATACGTTCCCTTTTTTTTTTTCCCGAGAAAGGCCGTTGCAAAACAGTGATATGCCTCGTAAACAAGTGTCATAACTCCCAAAACTGGGAAACATCTCAGCAAAGGCCTCTTAGGATGTTTTTCCATATAGTAAATGCACAGAAATTTAGCTCAAAGGTTTAAGAAAAACACCTTGGGGCGTACGAGAGGATCAATAAGGCGTGAATGATGTATTTTGAGGTGTTTGGTTTATTCCTACTATGACCATGAGGCAGGAGACACTACGACTCTAATGTATGAAACAATATGCGAGGGTTTGAAAAGGGACGTGGATACGTTCGTTGCAGGATAAGATGAAGTAGATTGCTGTATATATCAAAAAGCTAGCCGGCGGTCAGTGGTTAGTCACTACGTACCTACCAACATAGAACAAGTTGTTGATAACGAGTGTCAACACCGGTTCTCGGCGCTGCGCCAGTCACTACTACATCTACGGACACTGGTTGCCTACTTTATCCTGTCGGTTTCCCTGGCAACTATCTAACTACACAGACTCGCCAGGTACGCAAGTAGTTCCCAACAACACCTTATCGAGAGTAATGCCGTACTTGAGTACGTCTTCAACCGATGTCATATCGTCGGCTTCGTACACAGTACCTAGACGTAGAGACGGGATCTGCCTGGTACCTATCAGCTATGCCTTCTGATTCCCACTCAGTCACAACTTCTGTTCGAGTGTCCTCGACAAAACAAGCCGATTTCTTACAAGACGCGAATGTAAGGATGTATGTAAAAGTCAACTAATATAGTATGGCGCGGACTGGATGACAACAATAGGACAAACACATCCATATCCATTTTGGTGCCTGGCCGCTGTGAGCGAAGCCTTCTTCGTCCTCTGCTGGCTGGGTCAACAATGTCCAACCAAATATGTACCTACCTACCTTTAACGAGTATCATCCATCCATAGTGAACAGATATCATCCAACCAAAAAGCAAAAGCAGAAACGTACCCCAAAAAGAGGAGAAAAAAAAGTGACCCGCACCGGGTTCGAACCCGGCAGCTTTCAGTTTACTTGGTAAAGCTCACGAAGAACTCTCTCGCATTACTCCCGGCTGCCCTAGCGGGCTAGGGATTACGGAATGGATGGCTCAGTAACCTAGGTTATATACCCCCTCCCCCTACTCCCGGCAGCGCGATGTTGAGAGTCTCTTTTAAAAAGAAAAGTTTGTGCAGACATTCTTTGCTTTCCACAACCATGGCAGCGAGTTGCAGAGGCGATGACATGACTGCAGGATGACAAGAGGGCACTTATCCTACTTGGGAGTTATTCCCGGGAGACCGTGCGAAGAAGAAACAGAAGAAGAAGAAACAGAAGAAGAAGAAGAAGAAGAAGAGCCTTCACGAACTAGTTGGACAATCCTACAGAAGGAAGTTTCCTGTATTAGTGAAAATGGTATCTGCCCGATGTTGTCTTCATATAGACAGCCGTAACTATCACCATAATCATAAAACGAGAATACCGCAAGTTTGCAGTAAATGATTATAATTATATACTAAGCCATGAAAATGGGTATAATAAACTCCCGACGAACTCATCTCATGCATCCATGCGCTCATGCTTTCTCCTCAAGCTGTCGCCAGCATGCTGTTGTGTTTCTATACTTGTCCTCTCTCCCATTCTGCTCCTCTCACATATCCAGCCACTTCCCTTCCTTCTTCTTGTTACCGGTTGGCACCTCTCATCATGCTTCTCATCCCCCACCAAAACCAAAACCCCAACTCAAATACTAGCAGCAGGCATCAAAACATACGGCAAATCCGTCTGATCCCCTCTCCCCGCGAGTCTAATCACACTCCCACTACTCCCACTACTCCCACTACTTCCCGCACTCTCCACACTCCTCACACTCCTACCGCCGCCCCCTCCACTACCAGCAGAACCCGACGACGAAGCCAAAGACAATTTACTCACCCCCGATCCATTCGACCCATTCGTCCCACCCGTGCCAGTAGTCCCATTCGTCCCAGCCCTATACAGCCCCGTTCCCATACCCGTCGTCGTCGCCGTCCCCGTATGCCCCATCGTCGCAGCAACACTCCTAGGCGTAGTCGGCGCCGTACGGAACTGTCTCTGCTGTTGCTGCCAGGAGTACGTGGTCGAGTAAGTACCCGAGGAGTTGCGGTTCGCGGAACGAGGATGGTGATGATGATGATGATGGTGAGTGCTGAAATGAGTCTTTGCTGTTTTTGCTGTTTCGGGGCGGAGGTGGTTGTGCGTGCTTCTGAGGGAGGAGGAGGAAGAAAAGTAAGAGGAGTTGGTTTGTTGCCGGGTTAGACTTGTTGGGTGGTGGTGGTCTAGGCCTCCTCGGAGGAGGCTGTTGTTGTTGGCGTCGGCTGGGGCTGGGCTGGGGCTGGGGCCTGTTGCTGATGAGCTGCTGGGTGTGGCGTATTTGCCTTTCGTTCTTCTCCTTTTGGGCGTTTTGGGTGTTGGTGTTCTAGGTAGTGGTGGTGGTGGTGGCTGGCGATGTTGATGTTGGCGGCTGGCGAAGTAATGCTCTAGTTCGTTTTCACCGTGGTACATGCTGCCATTGGCGCTACCGCTGTCCCTGCGCTCACTGCGCAAATCGCCTGAAGAGTAACTTCGCCTGGGCGCATCGTTGTCGATGTCGCTTTCGTAAAATGAGTGAGGTGATGGTCGCTGCTGTTGCTGAAAATAAGGAGAGAAAAATCGGCGGTCATTACTGCCGGCCTCTTCGGTGCCGTCGTTACGAACATTCTCCGGATCATTGTCTTCTGCCCCATCATCCTCGTACTCTCCTCCGACAATTTCGTCCAATACCACTGGATCAAGCGGTCTCATGCCTCTAAGCACCTCCGCAAAGACATGCATCAACCGTCTGAACTCGTTGATCGATAACGGCCGAGTTGAGTACCGAGCGCGCTCGTAGAGCTTGATGAATTCATTCAGGGCCTCTGACGGGACTACCACGCTGAGTTCAGTCAAACTAGTCAGATACTCGCGGAGTCCCATGCTCTCATGTCGTTGTAGCAGCGCCACAGCATCTGGGTCTAGTAGGGGCGGTTCCATCCTCCCTGCTTCTCCCTCACCTTCCTCGCCTTCGGATGTCCGGTCCGGCGGTGCAAGGGTGATAGCCTTGGCCTCGATCAAATTCGGCAATTCGCAAATGACCGTATCGTACTGCACATTCGCGAGATCGGGCGAAGTGGGCGAGGCCCATCCAGGGTGTTCAATCTCGCCCCAGATATGGGGGCCTCCACGCGGTGCCACGATGTTGATGCTCACCAGCTCGTCATGGCCCGATTGGCGCGTGATTGTCGAATTAAGCTCGGATTCCCGACCTTGGATGGTGTCCGCACTGATTCCCCTACGCACTTTCGGCTTCCAGCGACTTCGTTTCCCGGTGAATCTGTCGGCGGCTTCTTTCGAGGCTTCCCTCGCTGCCGTGGTTATCCATGACTCGGTTTGTGCTTCTCCATCCTCTCCTGCATGATCATTCCTTTCAACCTCTTGCCCTCGGGATATCAGGTGCGGCGCATTTGCTGTTGCAGGGACAGAAGCTGGCCCAGAACCGGGACCACCTAGGAGCAAGGGCAAAGGCAGCCTTGGTCTCGCTTCATACGCGATGGCGGCGCTCCTGCTTAGACCCGCAACGACCAAGTGTCTGACATCGCGGGGCACGTCGCCCTTCTCTATAGGGACCCATGACTTGGGAATCGAGTCGAGCAGCGCTTTGTTGTAGTACAGTCGAGTGGCGTAGATAAAGACAATGATGAGGATGGTGACGAGGTAGCAGAGCGCAACAATGAGGATGCTGTAGTTCTGCTTGGTGATGATGGCCTGGCGGATTAAGTCGATGGGACTGACAATGAGGAAGGCGAGAAGGACGAGATAGATGAAGTAGTAGACGAGTTTGTAGAGGAAATGGGCGATGATGGAGACGGCCGACCTCATTCTTTTGTGTGATGTTCTCGAGGTCGCAGCCGGATATTTCGAATCACTTGCCAGAAGAGGCAAATGTAGAGAAGCTATTACAGCCGACCGTTGTTGAGGTCGAAGCTGCTACTGTTTCCAGAAGGAGCTCGTGACTTGCGACAGAAGAATGTTGGGCGTCGGGGAGTGTCATGGCGGCGCGGGATTGGAATGCGATGATATTCAGTTCGGGACCGAAGAAAAAAGAGCCGCGGTTCAAGGGAGAGATAGCCGCCGGTTATTAGGATGATTAGGACATTGGAGCAGTTGCGATGGCGATGGCGATGAAATTCGAAAGGCAAGAAAAAACTAAAAGAACAAATCCAACTTCGGGAATGAAGCGGAAACCACGAACAAAGGAGAACCTTGAATGATGCAGGAACAGGAACTGGTAATGGAGAACAAGGAGCAAGCTTTCCCAACCGAACTGTCGAGTTGGGTTAAAGCCCGTGGATCATGGCACGTGTGACCTCATTTCCCGCCGGCTCGTCCATCCTTGCACAGCCGCACCATTACGTACCGAGCCCCTGTATGGCTGGATCGTTCAGGGGAAGACACCGCTGTAAGTAAACAATGGAATCTATTGTATGTAGCAGCACCACTACGTACCGAACGCTCATTGAGGTATCATACAACAAAAACAATCTAGACCTTAACATGCTAACAATGGCCATCCAGCTGTTCTTCCTATTTTCCTTTTAAGCAAAACCCCCTACTCCGTGCGTGTGTGTGTGCTTATTCATACAATATGCTTCAGTAATCACATCTAAACATATCCTCGTCACCTCTTCCACTGGTTAAGGTCTAGCAGATCGTCCATCCTAGGCTGCGGCTCCGGAAAGTTCGCAGCCTCCCTGGCCAAGCGCATATCCGTCAACGTCAGCCTCAAATCCCGCGCATACGGTCCAAACTCAGTAATGAGCGTGGTCAAAGCTTCCCTCAACGCCTCCAGAATGGCATCCACCTCGGGGCACTCCTTGACGCCCTCAATGTCCGTCCAGTGAACCTCGAACCCTTCCTTGAACCTCTCCAGCTTCTTGGTCACATTCGTCAATGTCCGGATGATCGTCGCGATATCCCTCTGCACGTTGCCGTACTTGTCCTCCTGCAGACTGTGGCTTGTGAGCATGCTAAGGGCGTAGGCTGCGTTGATGAAGAGACTAGGCTCGCCGTAAGGGCCTCCGAGAACCGCATTGAGCATCCTTCTCCGGTACTCCTGGCGGAATGGAATCCCCACCCACTTGTGAAGTCCCTTCATAGCCCAAGTCCTGATGAGGCTGGCGGTATCATCGGTTCCAGTGGCGGCCTTTTGGACCTCGAGGAGTTGATGCTTGGCCGCATCCACGGTCCTCTTCGCAAACGGGCTGAGGTGAGATCCTTGACCCGGAGCAACAGCAACCTGAGTAACCGCCTTCTCGACCTCGGACCGGAAGTTTCTCCTCCTAGAAGGGCCTCCCAGATAAATCGGATCCTCCTTCAGAGGTGCTGTGGTTCGGACCTTTTCCTCGACACGCTGTGCCGCTGGAGCAGCGACAGGCTGAGGAGCCTTTCCATAGTTGGCAATGTTCGTCTCAAGGCTCTTCAAAACGTCGAGGCAAATGGAGTAGACCTGAGACCACGCCGGTCCGTCCTTTCGGTCGAGGTCTTCGTAGATAGCCTTGCGCCTTTCCGGGAAATCGCGGGCAATGAGAGCCAACTCCCACATGGCAAAGCACTTGAGTGATCGTTAGCAATCAGAACGCTACTCAACGCTGGAGATAAAGCAAACATACCTTGAAAAACAACTTCTTGTGCTTGAGTCCGTTCAAGAGACTGCCATTGGGATCCTTGGATCCGGTGGTGAAAGGGCGTTGATTCTTGGTCGGCTCCTTGACCATGAACATGGTAAACGCAGTGTTACCAGCAATCCAAACGATCAGGAGCATGAAGCTAGCCAAGGCCATCGAGACGAAGCTGCTAAAGGAGATGGGCCACGAATACGGCACATAATTTGTCTTTGGAAGGTTGAAGAATGGGCGGAAGAAGAAGAGCGACAGCCGCCAGACGGCCTTGCGCAGAAAGAACGGGTAGATGACCAAAGTCAAGATCCCGCTGGCAAGCGTCTGGTTCAATGACTCCGCAAAGATCTTGGGCATCTCGCCCCAGAACTTCTTCATGAGCGTACCGACATCGCTGCTGCTGTTTTGGACGGCACCCTCTGAAGGCTTGGCAACGCCCAAGAAGAGCCGGTCGTTGTCCAGATACAGATGTCTGATGGCCTGGTAGGCGCCGAGGATCGCGAAATGGGTGGTGAACGCGACAGCCTTCTCGTTCAGCCTCTGTCTATCGTATGAGAGGTAGGTAACCCATTCCAAACCAGAGTCCTTGGACTGCGAGAAGATGTAAACTTGGGCAAAGAGCCAGGCTGAGAAGGCATACGTCACGATCGTCTCCAAGGTTGAGAAGTTGCGGTAATGCTTAAGGAAGGTATCGTACGCCGAGTCGGATGTTCGGTAGCCGGGATGGTATTGTGCGATGCGCAGAATGAGGATGAGCGAGCCGGAGAACCAGAGGAAGGCGGCGCGGATACCAGTTGGGCCGATGGGGAACCAAGACCAGAGGACTAGATGGAGAGCATCATGATTAGTCGCTTGCGCGTCCAGTAGTAGAGTCGGATGAGGAGAGTATAGGCGAGTATCCAAGCTTCCTTAAAGGTAACTTACAAGAGTTCCATCTGGCCAAGCCAATGGCATACACATATGCGATAGCGAGCAGAATCAAGGCCGTGGTACTAAAACGGCGATGGAGGGCAGGCTGGAGGAAGTCCTTGTAAGGCGGTCGTCTAACAGATGCGGGCGCCATCTTCACAGCGCATTGTCGACAGTCCCGCCGTCGTTGATGGTTTGCGTGTGGATGTTGTCTGGAAGAAGTGGTGTGTGTGAGGAGGAGGAGGACGGTGAGAGCCTGAGGGGGAATTGGTCCTTTTCAAAATCGAGCTGTGGTCGAGCCCGATCGGATCTTGGTGCAGCTTCAGGTTCAATGTGTTGAGTTGTAAATAAAAAAACGGGGTGGGCCTGCCTGCCGCGCTGGATTGAAGCTTCCAGTTCCCCAAACACGACGCGCTGCTGTCAGCCTGCCACCCTTTCTGGATCCACATGGGCTCTCATGATTGGCCAAAACGTCCACATTACGTCTTTAAGCCCAGCCGAAGCTTTGGATGGCAGGACAGGGGAGTTTGGATGGTCTTGGCCAGAGCTGCCCAGACAGTGGAGGCTGACAGCACACAGCAGCCACTGCGGGACAGCGACGGGGGTGCACTGGGCAGCGCAATCAATGCAACCACTTGCGACCACTGTCGTCCCAGACCACAAGTCACAAGTCACCTTTCACTTTCAACCTACAACCAACCTCCGACCACCCGACTGCCTGTTGACGATAACATCATCAACAAAATAGGCACCGACAAATCGCTCGTTTCCAATAGGGCCCCTCAACTCCCTTTCGTTGCAAAACTGGATATATACCAAATCCCATTCTCCCGACGACAATCACTACCCACGCACCGCATCAGGCACCGATAAGAAACTACTACTATCACAACCACATCTACAACCACAATCAGCAGCAAGCATGTCCTTCGATCAGCTATCCTCCCTCGAGGCGGGGCGCCGTCGCAATACCGGCAGCGGCCAATTCAGCGACGACCCCGAGTTCCAGCGCCTTTCCCAAGATTTGATGAACAAGCTCTTCAGGCTCAACGGCAACAACCAGCGTCTCCAAGGCGAGGTCGGCCACCTCGGCACACGGCGTGATACCCCGCGGGTTCGGGAACGAGTCCACGAGCTGATCGAGGAGTCGCGCGACCTGTTCAAGGAAGTAGGCGAGGGCGTCAAGAAGGTTCAAACATGGGAAGATGTCACTGTACGTTAATAACTTCTTCTTTCCCGTCCCCATTGCCAAGCGCCGAACCATAAACTTAGAACTAACAAAACACTACTCCATAGCCGACCCAAAAATACATGCAACAAAAGCTCTCCCGCGAGTTCCAGTCCTCCCTCTCGGAATTTCAATCCCTCCAGCGCACCGCCCTCGACAAGCAAAAAGCCTCAGTAACCGCCGCCCGATCCGTCATCGACGCCACCGACCCTTCGCACTCGTCGCACCCATTGCTCGACGAACCTCAGCTGCTCCAGCAGCAAGAGCAAGAACTCACCCACCTCGCCCCGCAATCCGAAGTCGACTTCCAGGATGCGCTCATCCTCGAGCGCGAGGAGGAGATTCGCAATATCGAGCAGGGTGTGGGCGACCTGAATGTGCTGTTCCAGCAGGTGGCGCAGATTGTTAGTGAACAGGGCGAGATGTTGGATACGATTGCAAATAACGTGGAGAATGTGCGGGATGACACAGCGGGGGCGGATAGGGAGTTGAGGAGCGCGGCGAGGTATCAGAAGAATGCGAGGGGCAAGGCGTGTTGTTTGCTGTTGATTTTGAGCGTTATCTTGACGATTATCTTGTTGGCAGTGTTCCTGGGTTAGGCTGGGCTGGGTTCATGATATGGGGTGGGATGCTTGCTGTTATGAAAAAGCGGGTGCAGAAAGGATGCTGGAAAGACGGGACAAAGCGGGAAAGGATATGATTGTCGACGATGTTTTTGATGACGAACACGGACGGGAATGAATGGCTCGGAGGACAGGGTATAAATCCTCTTTTGGTTGGTTTTGTTGCTACTGCTGATATTGCTGTTTTTGCTGTTGTTATTGCCAAGTTCGCATTGGGAGGGATCAAAGAAAGGGAGAAAGGCGTTTTCGGAGTTTTTACTTTTCTATTTACTTGGTCTTGTTTGTTAGTTGTACAATTTCCATCTGGCCTCTTCAAAGCCAAGTCTATCATTCATCCATAGGTATCTTATCTTGTCTCATATGATGTCTCCTCTATACATACAGAATGCCCTCATACCCACTCCCATCCCGTCATCATGTGTTCTGCTTATAATGGTTCTTCTTCTTGGTCGTCGGATCCGGCTCCCAGTCCAATCCCGGCAGCTTCGGCCTCACGTACGCATCATCGCCCCTCCCCCTGGCCGGTCCCAGAGACGGCGGCAACGGCATCTTGGCCGCCACCACCGAAGTGATAGCGTTGCTCGTCAGACTCGTCGTGATCCAGTACAGATGCAGCGCCGCCGGCAAGTTGAAGGTCGCGGGCCCCACCAACAGCGTCAGCAACAGCAAAGCCCGCTGCATCCGCAGTCCGATGGATTTTTGCACCTTGATCTGGGATGCCTGGTCGCCAATGTTGTGGGGATTGGGCTCGGCGACCTCTGTTCCTGGGTTAAGTAGACGAAGCCATCCTTCTCGGGTGCGAGGCATCACGTTGACGAACATGGTAAACGACAGGATGAAGGGGAGGATGTGTAAGGGGTCGGCGGCCATGAGGTCGGGGAACCAGAGGCAGCCTTCCATGGAAGTCGGGAGGGCGTTTTGGAAGTAGGCGGAGAGGGAGTCGGGGAGGTATGTGTTGGCTAGGGGGTTGACAATGGTGTCGGCGGTTGTGGTGGTGGTTGTGGTGGTGGTGGTTGCTTCCGTGACGGCGTTGGTGGCCGCCTCAGTCGCTTGTGATACCGCTTGTTGTGTAGCTTCCGCCGCCTTTGCTATCACCGTCTCGAGCGTCCCTTGTGGCGCGGTCTCCGTCGTCTTCGAAGCCGCCGTCGCCGCCTCTGCCTCCACCTTCCAATTCTTATTCAAAAAAATACCCAACAAGCCAACCGGCCCGTCACACAGCCTCCTCAAAGCCTCGATACCGACCAGCCAGCCCGGGAAAGCTAGAAACGGAACGAACTGCTTCCACGGCTGCACGCCCCACTCCTTCATCAACCTTTTGCTCGTCCGTTCCATCCGTTTCATGATCTCTACGCGCAGGACGAAATCGTTCCTGACGGGATCCACCTGCTTCGCGTAGTTGACGTCGTGGAAGTGCCGCCGGCCCCAGGCCATGAGAACCGGCTTGAGCAGGGCCCGCCGCTGGGCGAGCCGCTGGGTGTACTTGGCTGCCGGGACGCGGAAGATCAGGCTGATGGCGGCGCCGAAGCCGGGGATCAGGATGTACCAAGGGATGTGCAGGTTGGCTTGGGCGGCGAGGAGGAGCTGCTCGACGGTGGTGACGGCTTCGTTGACAAAGGGTCGTCGTTGTGAGGGAACTGATGAAACCGGGTTGTTGTTGTTGTTTCTCGTCAAATGAAGTTGGGTAGCCGCTGTGAGGCCTAATGGTCGAAGTGAGGATGATGTGGTTGAGAGTCCATGCCGGGCGAGCGAGCTCATGCTCAAGCCGCCGGCTAAACGTCCTCCGAAAGCAGCCATGGTGGTGAGCTAGGAGCTGGGAATGAGTAAGACGGGCGAGGGGAATAGAAGAGAAGAAAAGTAATAATGGGGGTTCACATTATCCGTCTAACATGAGTTTCCCTTCCCTTCCAGCCTCTTACTTGTTCAGCAATTTACTGCTGAGTGACCGAGAAGAGGTGTTGTTCTTGGTGAACCTTGAAGTCCACTTAGACCTTCAGACGAGGATCCTCTAGAAGTTCATTGGTGAGGCATCATTCCCGATAAACATCCAAATCGAATATCGTGCCTGCCGGCTCTATGCCAGGGGTCCCAAGCATAACTCCGCCAAGCCAGCTTTGAAGTCCGTGCTCAACACACAATTCTTTCATCTGACCAATTATAAGCTGCAGCTGACACTGGCCCAGCTAATGGTGAAGCTTGCACATCTTGGTGCGCAGTGCCCCCTACGTCAGAGCCGCAGAGGTGTGAAGCACTGTACTCCCGTCCCCTGAAGGAGCCCGCCTGCACTATCAAATGCACCCGCAAATACCGTAGCTCCCGCTATAGCACATGATGGAGGGCAACCCTCCCAAATAATTACTGTCACGGTGGTGGGTGGGACAGGAACCCAAACACCACAAGGCCAGATCATTCCACCTCCATCACCCCGTCAAACATCATCATCCGCCCAGCAACCTGTCTAAACTCCAGTTCCAGTAGTCGGCTTTGGGTTGTCGCGGCGATTTAACTTCATAGTCCTTCGTTTAGTCCTTAATCATTATTCTTTTCTGTTTCCTGTTCATGCCCTCTCTTCTCCCATTTCGATTCGCGCCTACAAGTAGCTAGCCCGAAGCTCTGAAACAACAAATCCACGAAAGTTCCCAAGCAACGGCGCATAACGCCAACGACATATAACCGACATAACAGTACAGAAATCAACACACACATACATAACGCTCCAGGTCATGGCGAACGGCCTCCTCACCTACGCTGCCATCCCCTTGTTGACTATCGGCCCGCTTCTCGCCCTGTTTATCCCCTTCGTATGGCGACTGGTCGGCTCCTCGCTGGGATGGTACTTGCGTAGGAAGACAGATGGCCGACGGTGCCACATCCTCGAGGTGGTAGAGGCGGACGAGAGGAAATATCGGGATTCCAAGGCGGCAAAGGGCCGGAAGGAGGAGAAAGAGGAATGGGAAACCTTCGGCAACAACATCGAAGCTACCGACACATCCGACGGCAAGGTCTACGATAAGGATTGGGATGGCATCGTGGGCTTTTTTCACCCCTTTTGGTGAGTTATACCTGGGGATGGGTTACTGTTGGAAGTCTGGTACTAACACAAAATGCAGCAATGCTGGGGGAGGCGGAGAAAGAGTCCTTTGGGCTGCCATTCGGGCCACGCAGAAACGCTGGCCCAAGGCCAAGTGTGTCGTCTATACGGGTGATCACGATGTTAGCAAAGAAGCTATCCTGTCCAGAGTAGAGGTAAGGAGGCGCCCAACTGTACCGTTTTCATTTGTATTCTCCAGTGTCTTGCTAACATGTTGATTTCACCAGCATCGCTTTAACATCCACCTCCACCCGCCCACCGTCAACTTCCTCTACCTATCCACCCGCCGCTGGGTTCTCGCCTCTACATGGCCCTACTTCACCCTCGCCGGCCAATCCTTCGGCTCCCTGATCATGGCCTGGGACGCCTTCTCCCTGCTTGTGCCCGACATCTTCGTCGACACCATGGGCTACGCCTTCGCCCTCGGTTTCTCCCGCTTTCTCTTCCGCGACGTGCCCACGGCTGCCTACGTGCACTACCCGACCATCTCGACCGACATGCTGGAGTCGCTCGACCCGACCTCCGCCGTCGGCGCCCAGGGCGTCAACGCCGGCAGGGGCACAGGCGCCAAGGGCCGCGCCAAGAAGATCTACTGGCAGCTGTTCGCAAGACTGTATTCGCTCATGGGTGCGTCCGTGGACGTGGTCATGACCAACTCGACCTGGACGCAGGGCCACATAGAGAAGCTCTGGGGTCCCGTGCGCAACTTGACGGGTAACGTGCCCGGCATTACGTCCAAAGTCAATCCCATCGCGGTGGTGTACCCGCCCGTGGCAGTCGAGGAGCTTGAGCAGGAGGTCGAGGTTTCGCCCGAAAGCGAGAAGCGGAGGGAGAATGTTCTGCTGTACATTGCGCAGTTCAGGCCGGAGAAGAACCACCAACTCATTGTGCAGGCGTTTGCGGAGTTCTTGAAGAGCGGATCGGAGGCGGCGAGGGACGCGAAGCTGGTCCTGGTCGGCAGTGTGAGGGATGATTACGACTCGAAGAGGGTCTACAAGCTAAGGCTCCTGGTCAACGAGCTGCATATCAAGGACCGGGTCGAGTTCCATCTGGATGCGTCGTGGCCGGATATCTTGGAGTGGTTGAGGCACGCAAGCGTGGGCGTCAATGGCATGTGGAACGAGCACTTTGGCATTGGCGTGGTGGAATATCAGGCTGCTGGGTTGATTTCCGTGGTGCATGATAGTGGTGGACCGAAGTTGGATATTGTTGTCGAGGTTGATGGCGAGCCTACTGGTGAGTTTTCGGTCATTGCCCCCGTCTTGGACCCAGTTGGACTAACAGATGTACAGGATTCCATGCTACGACCTCTGGGGAATTTGCAGCGGGCTTCGAGAAGGCTTTGTCCCTGCCTAACCCGTACGCGGTCAGATTGAGGGCCCGCAAATCGGCGAAACGCTTCACTGAGGGGGAATTCGCGAGAAGGTGGATCGAGCAACTGGAGAAGTGCGTGGCTATGAAGGCGGTTGAGAGGCCCAAGAGCAGACAGTGATCGCGCCGTCGACTTCTTTGTTCGCTTTCATACCGGGCATTATCATACTAGGGAAAGTGGCTGGGCTATCGGCCAAGCTTCCGTTTGCTGGACCAGCCAGAAGAAACAGTAGACATCATTATGGATACCCCTTTCTTAATATACCATAATTCATAAGGTGTTGAGAGTCTCGGGTTCTTTGCAGTGCCATCCTGGGGGGTTGGGAAGATGTGTGAGGTCTGCGCCTAATTCGTCATGGACCATAATGAACATGTAGAAGTTTGAAGCAATCCATCTGATCCTTATGATACCAACACCACATTTCTACTTTTTATGATGTCTCAGCAGCTATCCTTTGAACAAGTCTCGGGAAGTCTAGAACGAGTCAAGATCAGGGGTGGTTTAAACGCAGTGTGGTCCGTGCGCGCTGCTAAGAAAATCCAAACTCCATCGACCACTCAGGTTCTCCAAGTCATCCACTTTCCTATTCGGATCACAAGTCAAAAATCTGCGACAGGACCCTGATTCATCCCAACTTCACCAACCACAAAAAAAGTTGAGACATTGGACGCAGGAACCGGCATAGTTCACTGCATCTCACTTGTCAGTCACACTTGGGTTTTGACTGGTGCATCAAAACTCACCAATGTCGGCAACCGTCCGACTTCTCTCATTCTCTCGATCATCATTCATCAAACCCACAACAACATCAGCATCCATCCGCAGCCAATTGGCGTCGCCGAATAACAAATTCTCCTGGACCAGGTCAGCAAGCCACTACACGGCAAAGGAATTCAAGAAGGCTTTCTTGGACAACGACTTCCACAAGGACAAGGACAACGGGTTCCACAAGACGAAGAAGGACAACGGGTTCCATAAGCATAATCATCCCAACGACAAAATGGGCAAGAGACAGTTCAACGGCAAGCCTGGAAAGTTCAGGAAAAAGCAAAAGAAGGTCGTGGTTGCGTCGGAAGGATCCCCGGAGGAAGTCCTGTTGCACGACATCAATGCCCTGCTTGAGACTTTGACTGTGGCTGATGTGGCCGATGAGGGAGCCACTGAGGCTCCTCAGGCTGAGGTGGCCAAGCCGGAGGAGGTTGAGAAGGTAGAGGGTGAGGAGAAGGTTGAGGAGAAGACGGAGGGCAAAGAGGACAAGGCCGAGACTAAGCCTGCGCTTCTCCCCCAGGGCACCGAAATCGAAGCTGAGATTCTTTCACTATCTTCCACCGGCGACGGTCTTGCGAAGCAGAAGGGTTCGGCCTCCAACCACATCTACGTTGTCCCCTTCACTGTCCCCGGCGACGTTGTCAAGGCCCGCGTCTACCGCCATGTCGAGCAAGACGGCTACTCGCACGCCGACTTCCTCGAGGTCCTCACCCCCTCGCCTCTCCGCGACGACAGCCGCATTCAGTGCAAGTACTTCGCCAAGTGCTCCGGCTGCCAGTTCCAGATGCTCGACTACTCGGAGCAGCTCAAGCACAAGCGCAGCATCGTAGTCAAGGCCTACAAGAACTTCTCCAACCTCTCTCCCGAGCTCGTCCCCGAGATTCTCGACACCATCGGCTCCCCTCTTCAATACGGCTACCGCACCAAGCTGACCCCCCATTTCGACGGCCCGCCCGGCGGCAACCGCCGCGGCTTCAAGAAGCCCATGGAGGAGATGCCTCCCATCGGGTTCACCCCCAAGGGTCTGCGCAAGGTGATGGACATTGAAGACTGCCCGATCGCGACGGACGCCGTGCGCGCCGGTCTCACGGCCGAGCGCGAGCGCATGTCCAAGGAATTCGCCTCATACACGCGCGGCGCCACCATCCTGCTTCGCGAGAGCACCAAGCGCGTTCCCAAGCCGGCCGACGGCTCCGAGATTCCCACCCCGGACCTCAAGCCCGGCGTTCTCCCCACGCCCATCGTCACCCCCTCTGCCGACGGCAGCTACACCGACTTCAAAACCTGCATCACCGACAACAACGCCACCTCGACCGAGTACATCGACAACTTCATCTTTCAGAACCCGGCCGGATCCTTCTTCCAAAACAACAACTCCATCCTCTCCCCTTTCACCGATCACATCCGCCAACACATCCTCCCCCCTCCCGGGTCCCTTCCCGAGGGCGCCAAGCCCATCAAGAACCTAATAGACGCCTACTCCGGCTCGGGACTCTTCACCATCACGCAATCCTCCCTTTTCCCAGGTGGCTCCATCGGCATCGACATCGCGGACAAGTCCATCGATTTCGCGCGGCGCAACGCGCGCCTGAACGGGCTGGACGAGTCGCAGTGCAAGTTCATCGCGGCCGATGCGCCGCAGCTGTTCGAGTCCGTCTCGAGTCTGGACGCGGACGAGACGGTGGTGGTGTTGGATCCTCCCCGCAAGGGTTGCGACGCCAGTTTCCTTCGGCAGCTGATGCAGTTTGCGCCGCGCAGGGTGGTCTACGTGTCGTGCAACGTACACACGCAGGCGCGGGACGTGGGCGTGCTAGTGAGGGGCCGCGTGGGGGATACCTTTGGGGAGGCGTTTGTGGATCCGACAGAGGGGGAGAAGAAGATGAGCAGATATGTGATTGAGAGCATTCGCGGCTTTGACTTCTTCCCGCAGACGGGACATGTGGAGGGCGTGGCGATTTTGAATCGGGTTGATGAGTAGGTAAGGCAGTTGAGGGTTGAAGGGATATAAAGGGATAGATAGATATATGAGGAAGGGAAAACGAGGTATTGGGGATGAACTACTGTACCGGGTTCCGGATGTAAAAAGTGAGATTTCTGTCTGTTTTTGTGGTTGGGATATAGGCTCAATCTTGAATTCATACCCCTTGAGAACCGTGAATAATGACCCCTTGACCAGCATCATGTGTCTTCGATGTTGAAAACTAGGAAAGTAGACATATTATTACTGATTACTGTACGAATTTACCCTATACACTAAACTGGGATTACCACCACTGTCTGCTCACTGGCTTCTCTTCTTCCTCCACACATTAGGTATTCACATCTCTTCTCCCTCTCCATTATTCGGCTGGATATCTACCTCCATCCCCTTCTCCCCACGCTTCCCCATGGAAACATGTCGATACTCCAGACATTCAAACCGGAGCGCTGTGAACTTTGCAACAAATCAGGAACAGCAAAAGAATTCTTCGGCGGAATAACCCCGCAGGCAATAGCAAAAGTAGAATAAGAAATTGGCGGAACATCATAATGACCTTTCTGATTATTACAACTTGCGCTACCAATGGGCGGTTTACCTCTATAGCACCCTTTTGATGATGATGATGACGACCTATTTTTACTTGAACTACTCGCAGAAATAACAACCGCTTTGGACAACAATAAAACCAACGCTCTGACGGGTTGACGGAGCCTCATCTACAAGGCGAGACCGGCAAAGATGGCAAAGGCACCCATGGCCACGGCGGGCAGGGTCATGGCAATGGCGCTGCCAGCGGCGCCGCTGTTTTTGGTGTCGTCGGAGTCAGAGTCCGAGTCGGAGTCCGAGCTGGTCGAGTTGCCGGAGGAGACGCTGCCGGAGTCCTGGATCTTGGCATCGTTACTGCCGGGGGCTGTGCGTGATCTTGTTAGTCTTGAAGAGTTCATTGAAACTAAGGAATGACGAAGAGGGTGGCACGTACCGTTGCTCTCATCACTGCCGAGAGGCTTGACGGCCAAGTCGGAGATGACACTACCATCCGCGTTCTTGACGGTGTACTTGACACTGAAGTCCTTGATGTCAACGAGCTTGCCGGTGGGCTTGGGGCTGACACCCTTGGCGAGGATCTTATCGACGTTGGGAGGCATGTCGGGGAGGGTGAAGTTGCCGTAGAAGTCCTTGGACTGGATCAACTTGGCGTCACACTTGGGGGCCTTGGGACCGGAGCCCTCCTTGGCGGACTTGACGCCCTGAACCTTCTTCCAGTCGAGCTTGGAAAACTGGTCCTTGAGGGTGTAGAAGTCCTTGAGGAGGGTAACGGACTCGTCCTTAGTGTTGACCTTGACAAGGCCGTAGTCGTTATCCTCCTGGGTGTACTCATAAACAATGCCACCAGAGAAAACGGAGCTGAACTCCTCGCCGTAAATGGCGCCAACCTCGGTGAAAGGACGGGGCTGGACCGCGTTGCAGCCATACTCGGAGTAGAAGACGGGGACGGAGGTGTTTCTAAAGCCATCGACGAGGTCATCGTAGCCGGACTTCTGGAAGTCACTGTTGCCGCACCAGGAGTAGCTGTTGAGGGCAAAGATATCGGCGCGGCTCGGGTCGTTGGACTTGCCGCCCTCAGCGCAGGTGAAGTACTCGAAGCTGTCGAAGAGAACCTCACGGACATCGGCGGCAGAGTAGCCGACAGGGATCTTGCGGTCGCAGTGCTTGGCGACGTAGTTCTTGATATCACGGGTAACGGCCCTCATGTAAGGGGGGACCTGGCCGGCCGAAGACTCATTGTTGATGACCTCGTTTCCGGAGAAGAAGGCGAGGGTGTTGTCGTAGTTCTTGAAGGCCTCGACAACGGCGAAAGTGCGGTTGACGTAGGTATCATAGTAAGACTCCCAGGGGTTGTAGGTCTGAAGAGAGCCGGCAACCTGGGGAGAGTTGACGTCGAGGATCATGTAGATACCGGCAGCGTTGAAGATGCTGGCGCACTCGTCGTGGTTGACATCCGGGTTCAAGTTATAAACACGGATGGTATTGACGCCGAGAATCTGCAGGATGGCAGCGTCACGACGGCAGATATCAGCATTGCTGAGGGGGTCCTTTCCGTGGGTGGCATCGTAGCCAGCAGAGCCGCCGGGCTGGTAGGCGACACCAACGATCTGGAAGATGTTGTCGCTGGGGTCGACGAAGAACTGGTTCTTGACGCTCAAGGGTTTGACGGCGGCAGCGAGGGTCGCGCTGAGCGCGATAAGAGTGGATTGGATCTACAGTGCACATGTAGCGTTAGTCATTGCAACTCTTTTTCCGCATCTACATGCTTGTGATGTACATGTTACTGCAGCGGACTGCGTATAACATGGTGAAGAAAGTGTCGCTGGCGCGCAAACTTACAAGCATGGTTATAACAGTATGATGGGTCTGAAAATTCCGCAGCTACTGGATTTGCAAAAGTCGGGATGACCGGAATCTGTTGTTTGTTGACACAAAAACTTGTTGCTCGGGTGATCTGCTCAAATAGTTGGGAGAGCGAGACTCGGGTTCGGTGGTGGCAGAAAACGGCGGTCGGCAGGAAATCACAATAAAGCTGTCTTAAGGAGCGACGAGAAGAAAGGGCGAATAAAAACGGAGGCAAGAGGACCTGAGTCAGGATCCCTCCTCAGATCAGGGAAATCGGACGAACGAGTGTCGGGAAAAAAAAAAAGAAGGTGCAGAAAGCGACTCCAACAGAAGACGTCAAAGTCGATGCGTTGTACGGGAAAGACGGGAGCAAAACGAGAGAAAAAGAAGGCAGGAAGCCAGGAAGAAAAGGGAGATTCCAAGGCGCCAGTTGGAACAGGCCAAGATAACCAAGGGCTAGCGGCCCATACCAAGCCAAAACACAGCCAATGCCGCCAAATCACCATTCAAGTGGAAGTGTCATGGTGATTTCGGCGCGGTTGGGGAGCCCCCATGGCGGTTCCCCCCAGGCACCGCTCCACAAAAGCGAGCTAGAGGTAGCGAGGTTAGCCAAGTGCCAAGGTACTGGATACCTCCCCCCTGCCTACGGGAGTGTGGTACCTGAAGTAGCTAGTACCCCGGCGCTCAAACGTGCTCATGACCCCCTTGACCACCCTGAGGTGCCTTCCTCGCATTTCATTCGGCCGTTTATCACCATCTCATTGAAAACACCACGGGGCCCCCCTTTGTTCTAGGCGTTTTTAAATGGTCTCGCGCTAATCTGAGAAGGATCAAGTCATTTTCCGTTGCGACCTCCTTCTCATTATGTGCGGATCCAATACTCTGGGGTCGTCCTCTCTGTGTTTTTACGGAGTCCAGATGGAATGCATAGGAGGAACCTCAAGGGCAAACCCATCTACCTCGAACTGCCAAGTGTGGTTCATGAAGCTATCATGAGTGATGGCAGAAAAAATTAAGGTTGTTTGTTTACTGACGATCTCCGGCATTCCACCATTGCGTGAGATTATTTGTGATTTTCAGGGTCCCCATAATGTTAGATTAAACCTCGGATCCTTGCACGACGCCATTCCGACGGCTGGGATGCCAGAGGGAACACTCCCGTGCCTCTGTGTGAGATTGGACGCTGTCGAGATCTTGGCCACGACACGACCTGTCAAATAAGCTCTGAGGAAGGTGTGAGAGCTTCTGGTGTTTCTCATGCCAAACATGTCTGTTTCACTCACGCGGTCACGGTTTGTCAGGGAACGACACCCGAACTCCTCACGAGCATGTACACGAGCGGCAGCTCGGACCTGCAGGCACACAGGCTGCTGCCAAATTGCACGGACCGTACCTGAGTGGCGATGGCGATCTGTGAATCTTTCGGTAGCAGCCGACTGGACCTCGTCGTATCCTCGGTATCGTATTGTGACCTGGATTTTGCCCCTCATTGCTTTCAGTGTCGGTGGAAGATTACTCAAAAAATAAAAAAAAATAAAAACAAAAAAAAGGAATCGCACCCGACTCAAGCCAAGATGATGACCAAGCTTGAAGATGTTGAAATAATCGAGATAAGGCAGGTATTTATGATCCACTCCACGCCGTCATTGATGAGGGTGAGTGCAGCTGGGAATGCCGGCATTTTATAGGGCAATCAAGCGCCATAAAATGATGACAAAGCAGCCACCATTCAGCGCCTCCCGTTTGGATAACCTCATGTTCTGGAAGCTGCGTGGAACATTCCTTCCCAACGAACCATGGTGCCGTGCACATCACCAGCCTGTACTTGATTGATTACGAAGCAACCAACGTCAGCAGGTACAGCCTGAACGCATCGATTGATGCCATCAGCCCGCACTTGAAAACAATATCCAAACTTCTCACCCAGGCAGTGGTGAATACTTGGAACAAACCATCATCCCTTCCGTCGACTCATACTCTCTTGATATTAGGTAGACATCTGGGGAACACGGCTGTTAACGACACTCATTCCGGTTATTACCTTTAACCAAGGATTCATATAATCCGTCTGCTCCGATTTTTCAACCACCATTGAAGGTCGCGGGCAAAAATATATACCCAGCACTACGCAGCTTTTATCGATCGAGTAGTCCATAATATCATCATAATGAACGATTCAGACCAACAAGGCCAGCCGAAAGGCGCACCACTGCCCCTCTCATCAGGAGAGGCCAACACAGCATACATCAACGATGGCGACCACTTCGAAATCACCATCAAGTTCGCCCCCGAGAAGCACTCTCAAAGCTGGCTATTTAGGCAAGATACCACCTTTGAGGACATCCTCATGGCGCTCGGCCACCAATGGCCCGACTACGATTTTCTAAAATCCAAAGCCATTGTTGAGAAGCGCCAGCAGTCATCATCACCATCCACAAAGACGAAATCCCTCCTCAAAGCCCCAGACGATGACAGCCTCGCCATGCAACTCTACGCCGGCAACTCCCTCCGCTTCATGGCCCCCAAGAAATCAGCTCTAGAATCCCTCCACGCCGGCAAGGCCGAAATCGCCAAGCGTGAAGCAGCCCTTCAAGCCCAGCGGCGCATGGCCTACAAACCTCCTAAAGGCCGACCATCGGCCTCCAAGAGCGGCATTCACACCATCAACGGCCCCATCGACTCCTCCTCCTCCTCCGGCGGCAGTGACACCCGCTTCACCTTCCAAACCATCCGTCCGCTCCCTCACTTGCCCAATCCCTCCCGCTCACAGGCCTTCCTGCAACGCCTCGCCGCCGACCCGGGCATCCGCACCGCCATGCGCGCGCACCAGTTCACCGTCGGCCTGCTCACGGAAATGGATCCGGGGCAGTACACGACCGAGACCCACGAGGGCGTCTCGCGCATCTTGGGATTGAACCGCAACAAGGGCGAGGTGATCGAGCTCCGCCTAAGGACAGACGCGTACGATGGGTATCGACACTACAACACCATCAGAAAGACGCTGTGTCACGAGCTGGCGCACAACGTGCATGGAGACCACGACAGGCACTTTTGGGAACTTTGTCACCAGATTGAAAGGGAGGTGGAGAGGGCGGATTATACCAAGAGCGGGAGGGTGATGGGTGGCGAGGAGTATGTGCCTGCGACTGAGAGGGGGGATGATGAGTTAGAAGAAGAAGAAGAAGAAGAAGAAGAGGAAGAGGGGTTGGTGATGGATCATGGAGGCTGGACGGGCGGGACGTATGTGTTGGGTGCTACTAGTGATGCGGTACCATCTTTGTCCTCGTCCTCGGCCGAGTCGACTGGGTTGACCAGGAGGGAGATCTTGGCGAAGGCGGCGGAGGAGAGGTTGAAGAGGTCGAGTAAGGGTCCGGATCGGGGAAGTGGAAGGGGAGAAGGAAGTGGAAGGGGGGAAGAAAGTGGAAGTAGGAGTGGGAGTCGCGGGTAAGGGTGAGGGTTATGGCTATAAGTAGTATGACCTCCTCTGGCTTTCGTGAGCACTTTTGTCACAGCGATTTAGATTCAGCATAGCGTTTCAGGTACATTCATACCCTCTTCAGCATGGTATCCATACATAAGCAAGAACATTCGACATGTTTCTCGCTGCGGTCAACTTCTATTCATTTTGCGTGTGTGCCTATGTGATATACATACATATATCATCAAGCGCCGTTGAGAATCACAAGACATACTCCATAAACCGTGAATCCTCGACTACGTACTCCCACAAGGGATACCTATCATAAACCCAGACAAACCAAGGCCATTCGATATAGTCCTGTGATACCTATATGTTCGAACAGATTGAACTTGTGTAAATACTTCAATATGAAAGTTTATAACGAGGAGGCTTCAGAAATACTAACACTCTACCCTCCAACTAGATACCTTTCATCTGTTCCATCACAATATTTCTGCATGTTACAAGAACCAGCATCTTAATAGGAACCTGATAAAACCCGCAGGGCTGACCACATTCAACTCCCATCAATATTCCGGCCGATCTTATAGTTAGTTCCCTCCCCTCTGCCTGGTGAGGAAGTAGGGGTAGTAAGCCACCTCAGCTGGGGGGACTCTGAGCAAAAAAAAATCGAAGAGAAAGCAGTCAGTTCAGTGTAGATGAAATAAATGTCCTTCCTTACACACAACAGTATATTGTAGCAAACCTCAAGAACAAGAAGAACAAGAAGAACAAGAAGAACAAAAAGAACAACCAAGATATCCGGTTTCTTCTCAGTAGCGAACCACGACTATCGGAGATCCAATCGGCAACTGAGGTTTATTTAGCTACCTAGTTATACAAAGGAGCACTCTTCAAACTTTGAGTGATGCCTTGATCTCCCTTTCGCGATACACATTGGAAAGAATGCCTCGGGATTCAAACCACTTCCTCCTAGAGAACCCGATGACCGTCAAATTTCTAGCCAATTGGTGATGACCGGTGAACTTCTTGCAGTTGTAGGCCTTCGATCAACAGGTAAGTGGGAGAAGGTAGAAACATACGGCATCGAACACTGCTCATAAAAACCGGACAACGAAAACTACCTACTTGACTCAGCAACACTCGAAAGCACATGATAAACACCACAATACATACCGAGAAACTTGGATTGTAGACTCAATTAGATACGTTCCGTATTTAGCTAGACGAGCCTCAATAAGATACACACCATCACCTTACAGCCAACGCTTCATGGGTTATCAGCTGAGGTCAATGATACCATATCATCTTTCTCAAATGCCGACCTTTCGTCTGGTATAAGCTTTTGTGTATAACTTTCCATGCGACTTCTCGCTCTATTGGGGTCTTCTGTCATGTCCGCATTAAATGCACCAGGATAAAATGAACCAAACCCGCTCCCCATTCCCTGACCAGAAATGAAATATTTATAATACCATGTGCGCCACACCCATCAGCCTTTTAGGCCTGGAACTCCACCGCACCGCTCTCCTCCCACTTGCCAGGGACCAACGCCAGAGGCACGATACCGCTGACGTGCATCTCAGGGCCAAAGATCTTGGCGTTAAGACCGAGCTCTTGTGTCGCAGCCTTGAGGTTCTTGAGACCCTCCTGGTAGTTGGGACCGGCACGACGGACCCAGATTTGAGTGTTGTGCTCGATGAGAGCCTTGCCGTACTCCCTAAGGGCCTTGATGACACCCTTGAAAGTGCTAGCAACGTTGGTGAAGTTGGCAATACCACCACCGATGAAGAGGACCTTGCCCTGCTCAGACACAGGAGCACGGAGCATGAGATCGAGAACAGTGCGGGCGTAGTGGTATGTCTGAGACTCGGTGGGGGCACCAGAGTACTCGCCATAGTTGGCAAGCTCATCGGCAAAACCAGCTGAGGCGATGGCATCGGCGTAGACGACGGACGCACCGCCACCGGCAACGAGAGTCCAGATACGGCCATTGGGGTTCAAGACAGTAAGCTTGAGCGAGGCACCAGTCTTGGCATCAAGCTCAGCAATGTAGGCCTCCTCTTTGGTGAGCTCACGACCGAATGGAGCGGGGAACTCAATGGGGGGGCCGGCATCAATGTTGACACCGCCGTTGGAGCTTTGGGCAACAATGCCCAAGGCAGCGGGAGAGCGGGCAATAGCCCACTTGTTGCCGCACTCAAAATCGGCCGTTTGGTCGAGCTTAGCAGCAAGATCGAGGAAGTGAACCTCAGCAGAGGTGGCATCCTCGTTGGGAATGACAACCAAGGGGTTGATCTCGAGGTAGGTGAACTGGCAGTCCACATAGACGGCATAGAGACGGGCAACTGTAAAAGGGTTGTTAGTGCTGATGCTCGAGTCATGCATCCGCCGACCCCGGATGGTAATCGGGTATGAAGAGTGTAGACTCAACGCTTGACAGGGTACCACCCTGACAGGCCGGTTAAGCTTAAATCGACGGGTAAAACTTACTGAAGTCAACAAGGACGTTATGGATGCCCTTGGGAACGTGCTTGAGCAGTGTGCTCGCAAGTTCCTCGTTGGAAGGATATTGTGAAAGGTCAACGGGGATTAGGATCTTCTCGGCCTTCGCATCGACGTCACCGACATCAACACCGCCCTCGTGGTAGAAGAGAATCCAGTCGCCCTACATGATGTGCAGTTAGCTTCCGCACCTTATTTTTATGTTCAACATCTTTTTTTGAGGGAACCATGCGTCCTGATGGGGGCTTTGGGTAAGGGTTTGTGGGGGTTTGTGGTGGTGAGGATCGCAAAGGGGGTGGTGGGTGTGTCCCGCTCCACAATGAATTGGGTTTAGCCTCCGTTCGTCCGTAGACTGCCAGGGGCAACACAAGTCATGCACAACAACTCAAAATGTTCGTCTCATCCCCAATTTTCTCAACCTCCCCTCTAAATCCTCTTTTCCTCTTTTCCCCAAGTATATGAAAACCGAGGCCCGACGCCTTACGACTCTTTTCGACTTGTATCGGAATACGGATATCGGACCTATTGGGCTTGGCGACACCCTCATTCGGATGCACTTGCATGTGGGGCCTTTCTGATGATTCGACGGATTGCTAAGACGACTGGAAAAAGCGATAACTTACATCACGGACGGAGTTGATCTATTTCACGTTAGCGCGCAGCTCATTTGTGGAGGACCTGGACCGATTCAGCAATGGAGCGACTTACGTTGATATAATATTCGGTTTCCTGGGGGTGGGGCACGAACGGCTCGACGAGGAACTGGCGAAGGACGCCCTCTGTGTGCTCGACCTTCTGAGCCTTACCGGCGCGCTCAGCAATCCAGGCCTTGGCCTCAGGCCAAGTCTTGTTGAGAGCAAGGAGACCGCTCTTGCCACGGCGCTTGATCAACTGATCGGGCTTGGCGACGAAGCGAGCGCCGTCCTGGAGGAGCCAAGGGTAGGTGACCTCAGCCTGGCTGAGAACACCGTTCACATCGGCATCCTCGGCGAAGTGGAGGGAAGCAAGTCTGGGAGGAGGGTTGTGCTTGGTCGGGTTGGGTAGCGTGCTGGGCTTGATGACGGGGGCACGGGTAAGGTGGTAGTTGAGGATGGCCTTGCCGTCGGCCTCGAGGATGCTCTTCGCAGACATTGTGGTGGATTATGAAGGGTTAAGGTATGTGGAAAGATTTCCTTTGTTCGGTTGCCTGCTTCTATTTCTGCTGTTAGCACTCTGAAAATGAGGTCACTGGTATGTGGTGCAAGTTGCAATTGTGACAGCACACCCAAAGTTGGGAAAGATGGGAAAGCTCTCGGAACCAGTGAGCCGTTTACTCGACCCAAGCTGGTATGTTTCTTACCTCAAGTGAGGAACACGCAAACAGTCAATTGAGAGGTGTTGGAGACTGTTGTGGATGACAAGAAACTCGAGATGACAGAGGTCAAGGTCGAGTGTGGAGGTTTGGTGACGAACGGAGGGAAGGGGAGGAATGAAGAGAAGGAAAAGTTGACGGAGGGGGTGGGAAGAAGAGCGGGAGGGAGTTGAAAGATGAAGAGAGAGACGGGATGCTTCCTTGCCTTTGGATGGGAGGGGAGAAAAAAAGAAAAAGGATCGATCCAATTCTTTGCCAGACACGGCGAGGGCAGGTCAGAATTGCAGGGACGGCAAGTACAACTTCCAGGTTGCTGCTTCTCTGGTCCTGTTGGGGGAGCGAGCAACGGAAGGGACCACCACGGCCAGAAACCACGCCTGAGCAAAAAAGGTACCGGCCCCGCGTCTCGAAACCTTTGGGGATGACCCAAGCGGGTCGATTGCTCGCCAAAGGGCCTGGCTGGGCAGGCAATTGAGCACAAAATCGCAATCTCCAGGGCGGTCTGGGTTCTTGAGGGGTCAGAGGTACCGGTACTTCGCGGGGTACCCCTGTGGATTCTGGTGGGGTAGTTACTGTTAAGCAAACCCGGGCTAATGCAAGGTGGGCAATTGTGTGCCCCACCGCTTCCACCGGAACAAGCATCAGCAGGCGACCAGCGTCGTCGACCAGCACTCAGCAATGCGACCATTGCAACACCAATGCAGCTCGGTTCTTCCAGCCTTCTGTGTCCACGCAGCCAGTGGCAGCCGTGACAGCCAACCCAGAACACGCAAGACTGGCAGTTCTGCTGGAAGCAGAGGACGGCACACGAATGAGAAGCAGCCCAGCATTGCAGACCATCGTGCTCGTCCATGCAGTCCAGTCATTGATTGCATTGCAATGGTTTCAGAGAGACAGTAATGGAATGGCTTGGGCTGCTTTGGCCGCTTGTTCTGTGGCATTACAACAGATGCCCGATGTTTTACTGTTTAGTGTTTTCTTTTACCCCCAAACCCGAGTGGGCTTTCCATGATATTCGTTTACCTATTCCTCTTCCAAAAAAAGACCCCAAGTGGCCCAGAAACCCACTGGTTGAGTCACGGTGGATGCTGTCGACGATCCAGTGATCCAAGCGCAAGCTGGAACCCCAAAGACGGGGGCGGCGTGGCGCTCGTCAATTACGATGTGGAAT